TAATTACTTTAATTTATTTTTATTATTATCCCGAGGTTTTGGGTGCTTTACTGCGCCCATGGTCACGGGGGGGACTGAGATGTTTGACGTCCCAATGTCATAGTTAGTCCGGCTACCTTCAGTTTTTTAATATTAATTTTTGGTCCGATTTACGCAAAACGAGCTTATAGTATCATGAAGTCTTGCAGTGGTATGCTTGGGTTTGGGTTTAATTTTGTTAATTATAGGATCCCAAGCAGATGGTAGCACCCAACCATCTTCTCTATTGAAATTTGGATGTTTTTTAATTTCAATAGCCTCGCGTATCATGCTTGGTAGGAATCGGTGTTCTTTTGCGAGAATTTGTTGTTTATCAAATCTAATGTAATGGTGGGGACGATCTTGAACATGTTCGCAGACTGCAGATTTCCCGGAGCGTCGGTGCTTCACATCAGCTATATGTTCCTTCTCTCGGGTTTTTATAGATATCTATAAAAACCCGCGTGAAGGAACATATACGAACATAGAACATATACAGTTTTATTCAATATTTTAAATATTTATTTTTTATAATATATATAATATTATTTTTAGTTAACGCGTCAAGGAAGGACAAAGAAATAAACATACCCACTTTCTCATTTATAATATTATTAATTTATTTATTATACACTTTATTGCACTATAAAAAGTGTTACAGATTCGTACACAATAAAAATACAAAGCATAACAGGCGACCTTATTGCTAAAAAGCAATCTCTCCCAGACAACCGTAGGTAACAGCACAAACTATGTAAAATCAAGGAATAGAAGTAAGGAATATTAATAAGGATTCATTATAATATTTATTATTCATTGTCACTGTATACGATCCAAACAACAAACAATTATCAAAAATATCGAACTAGAGTCGAGACGTGTATCCGTAACAAAAATGCTATCGGTACTGAGCGCGCACTGCCAGCGCGGGACGCGGTGCGGGGAGTCGGGAAGGGGGTCGCATTCCAGCGGAGTCTCAAGTTAATTCGTACGTGTTGTAGTGGTGAAAGAATTCTCAAAGTTGGTCAAGTATTTTACTTTGATAGTAGCGCCCTCTATAATAAAATGCATCCTACGTTTTTAAGCACCATAACAAAAAACGATTCAACATAGCCTAACCCGCACATACAGTAAAAACATAACCATCCTTTTTCGTCTGTAGTCGGATAAACAACTGGTTGATAACGGTTGCGTATCGGCTGCTTTGGATCCATTGTTGTGTGAGATCCATTGTCAACGGTCCTTTTAAATATATACCGTAACAACATAATAATTATCGAAAAATTATATTAGCATTATAATAATGACACCATAAGTAATCGATCAAAAAGGGGAATCGATTTTTTAATGAGATTTGTGATTGGCAACAGTTTTTATTTTATTCACAAACAAATGAATTAATGATTTTCCTCATTTTATTCTTATCTTTTCGGTACTTTTAATTTGTGCAAAAATATTCCCATCTTTTTAGGATAAATGAATACCGCGATTAATAACCATAAATAAAGATATATTTTTTTTAACAAATGCACATTGTTAGGCGTTCCATGGCCGAAAATGGGCATCCCCCTTTAAATATTAAGGTTTTGACAGAATTTATGACCCGACTAAGTATTTATCAATATTTTTAAACACGTTACTACTTTTTGTAATACTTTATTATAAAATCTAAACAAAATATAGATTTTCTGTAAAGTCGGTTTAAGGACGATAGTTTTTGTGATTTGTGATCAATGATTACATACTTTTATTAATAAAATTGCATCATTTTCATTGAATTATCACTATTTTGTATGGATACAAGAAAGAGTGAAATGAAATCTACAATTTAATTGATTATATGACTTTTATTGCGATGCAAGCCGAACACTTAAGCTTATCATCCCTTTCGTTGGCTTGTGCAGCGCTCTCGCTCCGATCGTAACGTTAGAATGAGTCATCCTTTTTCGTGCGTGCAAGCGGCGTTCATTGATTTATTAGACGAGGTCACGTCAAAAATGAAAACCTTTTCGGCAGACAAACCCGAATGGGTTAATTAACTTATCAGTAGCTTAAGTTGTGACGTACATCACTACATTGCAGTACTTTCGGTTGCAGTGATACCATTTAATTTTACAAAAAAATTCATACATTTGCTTTGGCCTTTATTTTGTATAATATTTTGATAAAAACTAGTTCTATATCTATCGATTACATTAAATTATAATATATTCAGAATCGTGTTGGGATTGAGCTGAATATTTAAATTATTTAACAAAATCCACTATACATCTTAATGATTATGATTCATCACAAACGGATTTAGTTGATATTAATATATTTATTTTGTGGTAAATTATATTTATTTTAACATCGCTTATTTTTCAATTCATGAACTATGCTGGAAACACTTGGTATTTTACAAAAATATTCCGAAAATACGATTTTTAACGATAATATTTTGTTAAAAGTATTCACAGATGAAAAGTCACGATGTCCTGTTTTGATTGTTTTTTGCATGAAAATACACTGCAATTCGGCATTTTTGTAGGAGCTCGACTGACTAGCACGATCACTTGTGTAATGGTGCACGATGCGGAGCAACTAGTTTTATATAACAAGTATGAGTCGGACTTTCGTACCTTTTACTGGGTATGCCTTTCGATGCCGTCTTCTTTGGTTTAATTCTTAAAGGTATTGTATAGTTGTCGACACGAGTCGTGAGCACAGATAAACTGTGGTGGGAGGTAAGTACACTGTTGGGCAAAATTATTGGGTACCTTTATTATTTCAATTCGTAATTGAATATTTCCGCCGACTTTTATGAAAATGTTTACTCGAACACATCAACTTTTACTTTGATACAGTTATATTGCAGATAATCGTGTCCATTATTTTATTATCTACTATAAAGTATTTAATGTATACCTGGTGGTTAGAATTGATTATTTTATTAAGAAGAAGGAAGAGGTGATATGCCCGTAAAATCTGGTGTTGCGGTGCACCGTACAGTAGCTACTGAGACATTAGTCGCCTCAGCAGTCTGTTTATATACGTCTATGATGTTTTTCGCAGCACCTAATTTTTTTCATGTAACTAAACACTGAATGGACCATTTGTCAACAACAAAAATAATTAAAAACAAGAAATAACAAAAACAATTAACGAAAATAAACTAATTAAAAAAGTTATCATTAAAATTATTGCTCTAAAGTGTACGGAAGACGAATGATACATTCGAAACCAATAGACGACGAGAATCGACTGATAAACCAATCACGTTGAACGTCAGCGTGGTCAACGTCGTATCGACCAATAAAAAGTGTGCTCACGACTTATATCGGCAATTATACGATCTTTTCATTTCAAAATCTCCCTGACATACGACTTTTTTATAGTTGGCGTACGATCACACGTTTTTTCCATCTTGCAGCTCTGCATATGCAGCAGTGTTGTCATACATACAGATTTCTCCGTATATATACAGATTTTCGATGTGTAATACAGATTAACACTGGATACAGATTTTGTAACGCAGTACACGTAATATTAAACTTAAAATAGAACGATGCAAAGTATATGACAAGATACCGCGTTAAACACATCATTGCATGATTCTATTCTTTATGGCTAATTAATTTTTTTCACAATGTAATTATTTAGTATGGGGGCATTACTAGCGTGTTATACAATACACGAGATATAGATAAAATATGTAAACTGGATAATCTTTTTTACCGTCTAGAAAAGAATTGGATGTAAAATATGAACGGATTAGAAGCCTATGGCACTGATATTTTACAAAAAAAAACTTTATTAAAAAAATTAATTAATGAATTATATCGGAATCCAAATAATGTCTATCCTACCCTGTGACCCTGCGAAGTGACAAGGTCAAAGATGCCAGCCAATTTTATTGTTTTATTGCCGTTGGTAAAGTAGAGTTGATATGATTTAAATTTCGATAGATTTTAATTAATTAAGTTATTTAATTCAAAATTTTTGTTTTCATTTTTTGTAAAATATCAGTATCTATGTTGAAAATAGGCTTCTGCTCCGTTCACATGTTACAAACTATTTGTTTCCAGACGTTAGAAAAGGTCATCCAGTATGTAAAATATGTAAGACTGAAAATAATAAAGTAATTATTAGTTCGTTTGTTGCAAATATTTGAGTTTTTATATGTTGTTTGTTTAATTTATGTTTTCAATTTTGCTATTTAAAAATTTTAGTGTATACTTTTATTTAGTAACGTTAATCAAACCTTATCACGTTAGTAGTTATTTCTTGTTTTTCAAAAGAAGCAATGATGATGATGACGAATAATCCATTTTGGTTTATTTTATTATACAGATTTTATACAGATTTTAAGTTTGAAAAGCATACAGTTTTAATACAGATTTTAGCAGTTTCTACTACAGATAAAAGGTTCAAGGCATCTGGCAACACTGTATGGCAGCACTAACGAAACCATAGATTACTGTATATATACTAGAGAGAAACTCTATAATCTATGAAAAGTTGGTTAGTTGGCTAAGGTGGTTTTGGGGTGTATAATTTAGTAAAAATTATTCTAAATTTTATGATACACCTTAAATATTTTGAGAAAATGTTTGAAATATTCATCTATATTACGTATAATCTTTCATTTACTACAATTTTGTTATAAAACAATTAATGAATTGTCAATATTGACAAACAGGTAGGTATATTATCCTACTAAATAAAAATGTTGTGTTGCTCGAAATATTGACTTATTTAAAATTCCCTACAATTTTAGCAGGGTAATAGAAATCAATAACTTGTAAGAAGTATTCGTTAAAAATCTGCCAATTACTTATTATTATTTACAGTTCAGGATGTCGAAGCGGTCAGCAGATGATGGTGGCAATGGCAGCAATCAACCACCGATCAAAAAGGTTCATTTTGAACCTCATCTCATTGGGCCAGTATCCACTCTTGAAGAAATGGACATAAAAGTCCTTCAATTTCAAAATAAGAAATTGGCTCAGGTGATTAAATATATTACACCGTTTTCACATTCCACCAACTTTTTTATATCTTAAAATAATTTACATTCCAAATATAATCAGCTGTTTGTAGTTTTTATGTATTTACTGGTTCCATTTGAATGCTATGTTATTTTAGGTAATAAAGTCTTTTGGATTATGTTAAAAGAATAAGTATGTTTATGTATTGAAACATTTATGCAATTAAATGTTAATTACCTTCCATTAGATAACCTCTAAACTGTTGTGACATATTTTTTCAAGTTGAACATTATTTTACATTAAATTCCACACAAGATTTCTGATCTTATTATAATTAGCTTACTTTATATACAATTAATATTTACATTTTAGAGAATAGAGCAAAGACACCGGTGTGAAGCTGAACTAAGAGCAAGGATTGAGCAACTGGAGAAACGTCAGACACAGGATGATGCAGTTTTATGTGTTGTTAATCGTTACTGGAATTTATTGAATGAAGACATCAGGGTTTTGCTGCAACGATTTGATGCCGAAACTGCTGATGAATCAGAAAATAAGAGTAATCATCCATTCATAGTTACTTTTTAATCATCATTAGTACAACGCTTCACAAGTTCCAAGTTCACTTCGGAACATAGGCCTTCCCTAAGGAATGCTTTAAAATATGGTCCTGAGCCACGTACATCCATCAACATCCTGAATCTATTACTAGGTTGTCACTGTATCTAGTAGGGTCTACTCTACACTCAACTTACATGTTGGTTCTTTGAGCTATATGGACAGTCTATTGCCACTTCAGTGATTATCCCCATTTTGACTTTAATTATGCAGCGGAACTCCGAGCATAACTCTCCAGATCTTGCTCCATAGGTATATTATTGACAATAATAATGTTACTTTCAAACTGCATTATTTTAATATTATACTTATAATATTTATGTAACATTATTATTGTTAAAGTAACGTTATTGTCATCAATAATATATCTACATTGTAATAGATAGCTTATTAAAAAAAATTAAATCTTTTGGTTCTGAGACAGTGGCAACTTATTATTATATTTGGAAGAATTCATCAGGAAATTATAATGCCAACAATGGTCATCTCAATTTATATATATCTAACCCACCCAAAGCTAATGTCACACTTATGCAAAAACTCACATAAAATAAACACAGGTAGGCTAAGAGACAGTGTTAAAGGCTCAGCAAAGGCCATCACTATATAAATAGTTTTAGTGATCAAAAATTTGTGTTTTTAAACAACAAATAAAGTTGGCAACCCAGGATTTGCAGCATAGTTGGTAATTGCCACTAGCCTCTACAGTTATCTTTAACAGAACTACAAGATGCATAGAAATTAAAATTACATAATTAGTAATATATTATCATAAGTAAGTAGTACCAAATTTAAATTCAATCTATACATATAAATTCATTTGAAATGTCTATCTAGAACATCAAAATAACTGGTTTCCCTTAAGCTCAGTGGGGTTATTTGCGTGCTATAAACACATTATTAATGATTTTTAAAAAAATTGACTTTCTGGGTTAATTGTAATTATAAATAATAAGTTATGAATTATAAATAATAAATTTGAAATGGCTGAATCATTTGTGATGAAACTTCATAAACAAAGACCAATGTGAGGAATGATCCAGGCTTTATTTTATCCCAAAAATGTTAAAGGATAGGGTGGAATTAATAGATCTAGTGTTTTTTGTGTAATTATTTAATAGAACATCAATTTTTATTTTTAACATTTTGCCCTATCACACATGGTTTTCGAGATAATATCATAAAACTGAGTTTAGAGTGGTTATTCGATAATCGAAAAGACCACTATTATATATATTATGCAAGTTTATTTGCTTCAGTCCTATGCGGATTGAATTTAAGGTAAAAATAAATATTAATTGTGATTTTAGGTATACTTCATATTTCTGTGTTGTAGATGAGAATGAAGCAACCACTTCATTCTTAATGCAGTTGTCAACCTGGGATAAGGAGGAGTTGGATGCCCAGTTAGCAAACAGAGTGCAAGTTAGCAAAAGAGCGGTGGCTAAAGTTTTGCAAGCATTTGACAGGTTACAGCAAAGAAATGATAAGATTTGGAGGGCTATTAAGGGCGAGGGAGAAGGTAATATAATCTTTCTTTCATTTTTATTATCTTTGATATCTTTTATGTTTACTGAAGATCATACACTAAACAGTATTTTTTAAATCACAAACATATTCTATTACACATATTAGGTAGTTTTTTGATATATGTGATGTAAAATTATTGGTTACCTACTATACAGTATACTAGATATCCATTTATATTTTTTTTATAGGATAAGGGTGACAAACAAGCACATAGTCCACCTGATGGTAAGTGGATGCTGCGGCCCATAGATATCTACATATATTTTCAATTAAGAATCAAAATTCAGATGCCTTGCCAGCCCTGAGCACTGAGATGGAATGCCTCGTTTCCAGTAAAAAGGGTCTCCAGTTCTCTACACTCACCATACAAAACACAGCAGCATTAAGCTGCTATTTTAGGCTGGTATTCTGTGAGAGTGTGGTTGTACCCCGGTCGAGCCGACCCATTCGTGCTGCAACCACAAACAATATAGCTGCAGCATGGCTCTACCACTTAAAGTCAGTTTTAAGATCAGTTTCTTCTTTAGTGGAGGCCAGGGAGAATTCAGTTGTTTCCTTTCTTTTTTTAAAGATGCAAGAAATTCTTAGTAGGTAGTGTTTAAACTCATGCTAACTCTAAACAGAGAGATAATCTGTAAAGTAACTGTAAATATTGTAAAGGGATATGATCTAAAGTCCTGCTGCATAACTTTAACAAATTATATAAATGGAAACATTGTATATTTGTTATTCACAACTAATAAATTTATATAAAATGTAATTTTAAGTGTTTCCATGTAATATGAAATGTGTGTAGTCTGTATAATGTCAATACACCTATATGTCTTTGTGTTATCGAAGTGATCTTTATATGTAAAATATTTGAGTATGTCATGCTTGCTAAAGTTAACAGAAGTTATGCGATCAACATATTTATTACACTCAGTACCGTCTTTACCATAAGGGCACACAGGGCCCGTGCCCAGGGGGTATCGTCACGGGGGCCTCTGTGACGAAAGGCATAGGCCTTATTCACTTGCCCTATACAATCTTTTTTCTATTTTAGGAAAATATAACCCGACAAAAAAAATTGTAGAGTAAATGTGGGCGGGCTTTCTGAAAACCCTTAGCAGTGACAAGCCACACATTGCCTGCAAAAGTAGCATTGACAAATGTACTAGATAGAAAATATCTAGTTCCGAGTTTCGCCGCCATCTAAACCTGTGATCTAAACATTTTGGTTGGGCTGTACAGTTTCCTTACTTATAGCCTGCATTTTTTTAATTTTTGGCAATCTATGTATTTATAATTATGAGTTAAAAATATATTTCATACTGTTTAATAAAAATAACACTTCAAAAGATTTAACGGCAAATGATTTATTTAATATGATAATTTTCAACCACAATATAGGATTTTAAAGCAAATAATTGTTACGATCCTTATTTTTAGACAAGTGGAGCCCAAATTTTAATGTAATAATTAAAAAGAATACACGTATTGGTGTTATCATAGATTTTTTTTTGAAAGAAAGTTTAGGAACATTAAGTTTACATTTTCCTAAGAAATTATAGTCTCCACTATGAAATCAGTTAAATATTTTACCTCATTGTAAAGTGGCGCCGCCCTGGTGACAGAAAAAGTCGTGGATGCCCTTAGTGTGATGTCATAAATGACATGTTATTTGATTTTTACCAATTAACTAGAGATGGGCCGAATATTTGGCTAAATCACCGAACATTCGGTAAAGTAGTACACTCAGTGTCCACTGTATTGAAATGTATGAATTGAGTACTACCATGTCTTTCATAATTTTACAGTGGAAAGTATGTTTTATTTATGGGTTAAATCTAGTTGTATTATTTTTAGATATATTATATATTTAGATTTATTTCCCATTATAGCAAATAGAAAGCTTGATAAAATGTTTTTGGAATCAAACAAAGAAACATTACATTACATACATTAGTAAATTTCACTTTACTTTGGTTGTCAGTTTCTCTGAAATAAATCCAAATAGTAGATCTTCTGCCACTGATTTTTATCATGTAATTATCAATTTTCCCTTTTTAAAGGGATCCTCATTTTTTAAAGGGACTTTCCCTGGAAGATAGCCGATATTATAAAGAATAACTTAGGCTACTTTTATTTTGGAAAAAGAATTAGGGTTTCACATAAATAAATTAAAACCCATGAATTCCTATCGACACCAATTCCACTCGAAATAAGTCACGAGGAACAGCTAGTTTATTATATATATTTGACAACTCTTGTGAAACCCATAGAAAGAGAAAGATTGATAAATTTTCTTTCATCTTCATCGCATGGTGTACTTGCTTCACTACTAAAAGTTTGTTTATTTTTAACATATTTTATTACAGAAGGAGCACCCGCGCCATCCTTGGATGAAGTCGTTCGTGCGACGAACGAAGAGGTGACAGCAGAAAACCGTCATCTACAAGCCTTAAGCACAACGTTACATGAAAGCCATCATGCGATGACACTTCGTGTGGCACAATTACAAGATGCTGTTAACAGTCGCGATACTGAGAATGCAGAATTAAAGAATCAGATTGATGATTTGCAGTACGAGCTAATGAAGGTTCAGTTACTATTTATATTATTATTTTTATCATAAACCATGACAGATACCACAATTTTCTCAATTTGAAAATCTGAAATCAAATATCTTAGCTATATTACTCATCAAACACGCTAAACTTTGCAGGTGAGATCAAGAAACGACAAATTAGAGAATCACTTGGCCGAGGCAATAGAAAAGCTCAAAAGCTACCACCAATCAGGTGCCAGTGCGAGTAGTGGTAGCGGCGGTACAGGGTCAGGTGGGGCTACGCCTCTCTCAGCCGCAGCGGCCGCTAAGTTAGAAGATGTGGCGGCCGAATTGGAGGAACAACGTGAACTAGCCAACAACCGCCTTGCTGAACTTGACCGTCTACACCGCCAACATAGAGACACATTGAAAGAAGTTGAGAAGCTTAAGATGGATGTGAGTATTTCTATTTTCATCCTAAATTATACCTATCTTAATTTATAAGTTGTTGAACCACACTGCAGCTATTTTATGGTTGTAGCACAAATGGGTTGGCACAACCGGGGTAGGACCATGCTCTCACAGAATACCAGCGTAAAATAGCAGCTTAGGGCTGCTGTGTTTTGTATGGTGAGTGTAGAACCGGAGAAACGGGGCATTCCATCATAGTCCTCAGGGGTCATCTCGAGGGCGTCTTAATCGAGGATAAATTTAGATGTCTATGGGCCACAGTATCCACTTATCGTCAGGTAGATGTGTGACAGTTTGTCACCCACATTCTATGAAAAAAAGAATGTTTACTTACTTTAAAAGTTAGTTAGAATAGTTTATTCTGGTTTGTGATGAGATGTAAAGACCCTGACACACACTACTTAGCTGGCTTCCTATAGTTATTTGCTAAATGGGTCATTGGTGGACAAGTATTACACATAATCATATGAAATAATTGTTCTCATTTTCATTAGCCATTAAACAGTATAACTAAACAATGATCTCTCCCATAATAATAATTATTGCTGCGATATAATGATTGTACTCTTCAGTTTTGATGATGTCTGGACCAATTTCCTGAATAATCTTCTATGTGTGACATGTTATAGCAAGTGCTTTATATTGCAAAACACATTCATTCATCATCATTTGTTACTGCCTATCAAAAGTCCATTACGGAACATAAAGTATAATAGATCTCCAATAGTCGTAGTTTTTTAATTGTTAGATTGTTATTAAAAAGATGCGGCCTCCCATCTCCTGGTTTGTTCCCTTGTGATGCCTCTTTCTACACCCACAGAACGATATAGGGTAGTTAATATTCTTACACCGCCACTACATTGCAAATTATTATTTTACTATAACATAGAATTGACATTTTACATTGCCATTTATTCCAAATAATTAATAGGAACAGGTATTACTTTGCGGAAATATATTAAAAATGTTAAAATTTGGATTTTCATTGATTATCACTTTAAATTTTTAATTTAATGTATGATAGAAGGATATTCCGGTTTTTGTACAAATCTATTTTCGTATTAAAATGTTATAGCTTATTTTTGAAATGTACTTTATGTTTATTGGTATGGAAGTCTTTTTAAAAAAAATTTAAGTGACAAATGAACTTACAGTCCAGCTGATGGTAAGTGGCTTCTGCAGTGCTTGAACACCCACAGCCAACTTCAAGTAAAGAAGGTTACAAATGTGTTGTCACCTCGTTGGAAGGCCTCACAGCCTGTAATTACATTGGCTTTCTCCCCTGCAGACCGGAACATAGCATGCTATTTGGTGGCAGAAAAAGTAAAGAGTACCCAGATAGACCACTAAAAATAAATTTAATCCTATTAATTAAATCAGATTTGTAATTGTTGTGAATTTCTTCTACAGATACGACAGTTGCCAGAATCGGTGATTGTTGAGACTACAGAGTACAAATGTCTGCAGAGCCAGTTCTCAGTATTGTACAATGAGTCCATGCAAATGAAGACTGCACTTGATGAGACACGTCTGCAATTACAAAATGCGAAAAACTTACATATGAGGCAGATTGAAATGATGGAGGTTTGTTAGTTATTTGATGTATAACAATTAGCTGGCATTATGTATTTTTAAGATGACAAATTCTCTAAAAGTCCTTTTAGAATGAAATTCAAACAATTAAAACCGCAAATAAATTGTCCCCCATAAGGCCAAAGATGAAATGTCTTACAGCCTGTAATTTTACTGACAGTTTTATATGTGGTAGAGCCAGTTAGCCGTTAGCAGTTAGCCAGTAGTATAGTTGTAGCACAAATGGGGCTCGACCGGGGAAGAACCACGCTTTCACAGAATACCAGCGTAAAATAGTAGCTTAATGCTGCTGTGTTTCGTGTGGTGAGTGTAGAGAACCAGAGCCCCATTTTACTGGAAATGTGGCATTCCATTTTAGTGCTTACGGGTGACAATGCATCTGCATTTTGATTTGTAATCAAAGATAAATGTAGGTGTCTATGTGCCACAGCAACCACTTACCATCAGGTGGACTGTGTGCTCATTTGTCACCCTATCCTATATAAAAAAGCAGAAAATAAAGGTAGAAAAGTACCCTACCTCCTAGTAATAACACTTTTTATACATATTAGTATTGATATATAATAGTTTATATATACTGTTAATTCATTATCATCATCATCATTACAGCCCTTCACAAGTCCACTGCTGAACATAGGCCTCCCCCAAGTAATGCCACAAAGCATGGTCCTGAGCCACCTGCATCCATCGACTTCCTGCATATCTTACCAGGTCGTCACTCCATCTAGTGGGGGGTCGCCCTACACTACGTCTACCGGTACGAGGCTGCCACTCGAGAACCTTTTTTCCCCAACAGTTGTCGGTTCTTCGAGCTATATGGCCGGTCCATTGCCACTTCAGCTTACTAATCCGTTGGGCTATGTCGGTCACTCTGGTTTTACTGTGGATATCCTCATTTCTGAGTCTATCACGCAGAGAAACTCCGAGCATAGCCCTCTCCATAGCTCGCTGAGCGACCTTGAGCGTCCTCATACGGCCAGCAGTGAGGGACCACGTCTCAGATCAGTAAGTCATCACTGGCAACACGCACTGGTTGTACAATCTAGTTTTCAGAGATTGAGGTATACCTGACGAGATGATTTGTCGTATTTTCCCGAACGCTGCCCAGCCGAGTTGAATCCGTTGATTGACCTCTCGGTCGAAGTTGGACTTACCTAGTTCGACTATTTGTCCCAGGTAAACATACTCGTCAACAACTTCGAGCATAGTGCTCCCAACAACTACCAGCATAGGTGTGACATTGACAATAGACATGATCTTTGTTTTGTCCATGTTCATCTTAAGACCTATCCGTTGGGAGACACCACTGAGGTCATTGAGCATAGTGCTTAGGTTCTCCAGCGATTCTGCCATAAGGACTATATCGTCAGCAAATCGAAGGTGAGTGATGTACTCGCCATTGATGTTAATACCATATCCTTTCCAGTCCAGTAACTTGAAAATGTCTTCAAATGCAGCGGTGAAAAGTTTCGGGAATATAACGTCACCCTGTCTTACACCTCTCTGCAGTTGGATAGGTTTTGAACTCTGGTTCTGTACTCGGATAGCCACCGTAGCCCTACTGTACAAACACTTCAGCACTTCGATATACCGACAGTCAACTTGGCACCGCTGAAGGGACTGGCTTTCTCATAGTCCACATACGCCAGGCAAAGTGGTAGATTGTACTCTTCGGTCTTCTGCACAATCTGCCGCAGGGTATGTATGTGGTCTATTGTACTGAAGCCTTTTCGGAAACCGGCTTGTTCGGGAGGCTGGAAGTCGTAGAGTCTGCGTGCGAGACGATTCGTAATGACTCTCGAAAACAGCACGTAGACGCGGCTCAGAAGGGAAATCGGTCTGTAGTTCTTCAAGAGAGCGTTGTCGCCTTTCTTAAAGAACAAGACCACCGCACTTCTGCTCCACGCCTCCGGAGTAGTGCCACCATGGAGGACGGAATTGAAGAGCTTCTGAAGGACTTAAAGTACCGGTGTTCCACCCGCTTTCAGAAGCTCCGCTGTACCATCCTCACCTGGGGCCCAGCCGTTTTTAAGGTACTGGAGAGCCCTTCTAATCTCGCTCAGACTGACGTCCGGGATATCATCGGTATAGTGGCGGATAAGACTTGCTTTCTTGGATCGTTACTCACACTTGCATGTGGCTCCAACGATGATGTGTACAGCTAGAACCTCTCAATTTCACTCAAAATCTCAGGTGTCCCGGAAACGATGCTGCCACACTCAGTCTTCAGCCTCGACAGTTGGCTCTTTCTGGCAGACAGATCTCTGGCAAAGACTTTGGAGCCCTGGTTCCGCTCGATCCTTCTATACGAGCGGTATAAGTTGCGTAAGTCTCGCCGCATGCATTTGTAGATCTGTCTGTTAAGTTGCCTGTATGCTGTCAAATCTGTTGACGATTGCAGCCTCATCTCCCGTCTAACAGCCATGAGATTAACGAGTGTGATTGAAGAGTTTTTGTGTTCTTCAGCGGCGGGTCTTGCAGAACTTAGCTCCGACCGCATGGACAGTTTCCACGAGCTTGTCATTCATATCGTCCACTGCATTGCAATCTTCTAGGCACTGAAAGGTTTCGGGATTCTGGATTAGAGCACGAGGGGGACGGAGCGTTGACTTCATTAGACGAGACCTCTCCAACTTAACGTTTAGGTTCAGTGGCCTCTAACCATTCGGTGATGGGTGCCAGTTTTCACCCTTGCGATCACTGAGACATCACTGAACAGTTAGCGTCTGGTCGTCATAATGAAGTCAATCTAGTTTCTTGTCGAATCGTCGGGGCTCGACCAGGTCTACTTTCTGTGGGGCCGCTTCTGGAAGAAAGAGTTCATCATAAAGAGTCCCTCTTTCTCCATAAAGTCGGCCAGCTGCTGGCCCCTACGGTTCCGTTGCCCTATCCCAAATTTCCCTACCTTCCGCTCACCGTTCTTTCTTGTGCCCAGTTTTGCATTGAAGTCTCCCATTAACACCGTATAGTGAGTTTTGGAGGAATGCATGGGTCTAGAAATATCCTCATACATTTCCTTCACCTCTTCATCGGGATGTTCCGACGTTGGCGCGTAAACCTGTATGACCTTCAGCGAATACCGTTTGGTGATTCTGAGTATAAGGTACGCAACCCTAGTCGATACACTCCCAATCTTTAAAACGTTGTTAACGAGAGACTTGTGGACGATAAATCCAACACCTCCTTGGGACAGATGGTCGCCCTCTCGGTGATAGAACAAGTTGCCAGATTCGAGCATCACCGTGTCCTCCCCCTCTCTTCGGACCTCGGATAATCCTATAATATTCCAACGCAACTTGTCTATCTCTTCTTCCAGCTCCAGGATCTTCTCGTCAGTCCTCAGGGTGCGTGCGTTAAATGTTGCCAGGTCGAGTCGTCGTAGGTGGCAACCGAACCTCCACCGGAGTTTCTTAGCACCCCCTGCCCCGCCGTTACCATGGTCGCCACCGTAGCCAGGAATAGCGGGGCCGCCGGGGACTGGGGGCCGTTTATTTGTGTAATTCTTCATGGGGGGTATATTGCCATAGTTGCCACGCTTGGCGAGCGGGTTGGCAACCGCAGTTTTTTTGTTTTACAGTTGCTGTTATCAGGAAGATGCTGCTGCCCATCTCCTGCCTGTTTTCCTCTGTCGCCTTTTAGGACACCCACGGGAAGACGTGGGGTAGTGGATATTCTTAACCGCCACTACACGGCCAACCAATACTGATAATTAAAAATAACTTATATGAATTGTGTATGACATAAATTTATCTGAAATTCTGAAAGTAATTGTGAATAGTTTTAATGTGACTAAAATGCAATACCATTTAATACGTCGTCCTTCATCTTGATGATACTTGTTCATTTCAAGACTCACTCACCGTGTGAATATTTATGCAGAGCGGCCGTCAGCTTCATTGGGTAATAGTAAAATAAGACATTGGTTCACTTGAGTAAGTCACTTAGCCCATAGCCAAGCTATAGGGCCTTCAAATTAGAGGCGTGAGAAAGGGCTGCGGTGGTGCTACCAAAAAGAAGCGCTACAGTGGTGCGACTGTGTCGCAGTAGACGCGCGTCAGTAATGCTTCGGTAAATTGTAGTGATGTTTGTCAGTTACGCGATGGATTCTGACGAAGAAGCTTTACTCTTGTTAATATTGTTACAAAAAACAGAAAAGATTAAAAAATAATTTAACATATATTAGAAAACGGTTATATTGTCTAAACAACTATAGTGACTATTCCAAGATACGCCAATATAATAATATATAATGATGTAAAGGTGAACTAGTTTCTCGCCAATTCTGCCTATGTGCTCTGACTTTGCCTTGGCAATGACTGTTTTGAAGGACCTGGAGGCGGAATTATACTTCTTTTTAGAGCGTTGGTGTTTACATCCCGGGACGTTGATGCGTCAGCCCAGGCTTGGTAGTACTCCTGCTTATAGCATGGGCACCACACAGAGGAAGGAATAAAAAATTCCATACCCTGAAGTACCACATCAGCGACAGAATGAGCAACAACGTCGTGATCGTCCGGCGAAAAATACCCCCCCAAGTCACAATCCTATCCCAATTGGCTGACCTATAGTTCCAAACACGGCGGCAGTCTGCAGTATGCAACCGCGATTTCAGCGTGAGTGGCACCACACTCCGGACAAGACAATGGTCCGAGGAGACTAAAGGTCGACGGAAATCTGATATCCGTCCTCATGAGAGGTCAGCAGAAGGTCCAACAGGGAAGGTGTATGATCCCCCACATCTTGAATCCGCGTAGGCAAAGTAACCAGTTGTGTCAGACCATATGCCAAGGCAAAATCATGAACAGATCTCCCCGCATGATCGGTTAAACGTGAACCAAGCCACTCGGCGTGGTGGGCGTTAAAATCGCCGAGGATCACGATCTCTGCAGAGGGGATCTGCTGTAGCAAAGAATCTGTAGCCATTTGGACGTGGTCGAAGAGTCGGTCTGTTTCGGCATTACCGCTATGGGACCTATAGACTCTAGTAGACTCGCGGATGGTCGTCGCTGTCTACGCGTAGCCAAAGAATAGACAGGTCCGAACCTTGAAGACTGCCGAGGCGTCGAGAACAGATGTCCTCTCTGACGTATACGCAAAATCCAGCCCAAGGCACAAAGTAGTGTTCTAGGTTGTACCCCGGGTAGGAGAGATACGAAGCATCAGCCAGAGCGGACACTGCGTCTCGGTCAGAAAGAGCAGAGCCGGCCTCGCCATTTCGAGATGGTAGTGGACGGCGTTTAGGTTAGAATGAAGTCAACTGATGTTGCAGAAATCCACGGATAGCGTGGCAGGGGTTGCCTTGGTCTTGTTGCTCAGTTTGCCCCGAGCATTTGTTGTCTTGAGTGGAATTTTGCCCCCCCCCCCCCCCCGAATACGTGGGGCAGCCTGACTCTACGCTCAGGAGTGGAGTAATTTGGTCGTGGATGCTCAGCGAGGGATTCTGCAGGGGTGCTGGTACCCTCCTGGGGTCTTCTTCCTGGGATCTTTACTTAATGGGGGGAATCGGGCTTCCGGCCACCTACACTCACCAGACAAAACGTGGAAGCTGAGCTTCCACTTCACGCCGGTATTCTGTGAGGTCGTGGTACTACCCCGGTTTGCGCCGGCCCATACGTGCAACAGCAAAGCTGCCGCGTGGCTCTACCGCTGTTATGACATTAGAATTTTTTAGCTCCAAGAGCTCAATAATCAACCAATTGGAAGATTTTCGTGCGTTTCAAGCTCGAAAAAAGCCGCAAGTTCCAGGGTTGGCCTACCGGTCAACCGCCTTTCAGATTTTTTCTTATATATTTGGTTGGCGGTTATTAGGGCCTACTAAATTTCACCATCTTTATTATCCTCTTTCTTGTGTAGTTTTTTTGTTTTGTTTTATAATATTATAATCTATTTTATATCACTTCTAAAATGTTATAAATGCAAATAAATCTTACGCTTTTAAACTAATGTCGTAGTCAGAAAACGACCTGGTTTGAGCTTTTCAAACAGTGCAAAGACAAGGTGTGTCGAAGAATTAAGGATTTGACATTAGAAGCTATTAAATTATGTATTAATTATTGGTCCGGCGCCTAAGCTTTCACCGTGTTTTATTGCTATTTGATGATTACGAGAGATTAGAGAGTGCACCTGTGTTTGCGCATACATTCGGAAACTATGGTTCTGTACTCTGCAGAAAGGCCAATTTGAAATAAATTCGGTTGGGGCGACGCTCAACCTAACAATTAGCCCAATACTCAACTTAATGTAACACTCAACTCAACTCTAAACAGAATGCACTGATGATAATTATGAGGAGTGCGTTTATTTGTTAGTTTGTTCATCGTTATATTAATGACTTTAAGTGATGTTAGGCGAGGCAATTTATATTATTATTGATTACAAATATTAAATATATTACATGTATTTTAATTGTTTAAGTCCGTTAAAGCAGAAAGCCATATTATCCTATCCTAGTAAAATAAGGCCGGCTAGCAAGGTTTTTAAAAATGTTTAATTTTATTTTTCAATTTTAATTTAACCAGTAAGATTAAAAATATTATTGAATTTATAATTATTAAATTTATTGCAGAGTGAAGAATTAGCTAGACAAAAAGCACTACGAGCTGAAATGATACAATTGGAGGATGTATTAGGTCAATTGAGGAAAGAGTATGAGATGTTAAGGATAGAATTTGAGCAGAACTTAGCTGCTAATGAACAAACGGGCCCCATCAACAGAGAGATGAGGCATTTGATAACTTCACTACAGAACCATAACCAACAGTTGAAGGGTGAAGTGTCAAGGTATAAAAGAAAATATAAGGACTCCAGCCAAGAACTAAATAAGGTGAGTTTTTGCCAGAATCCATAGTTATACTCAACCAAATCTAAGAAATACCTTTTGATAGCAGTCACATTTATTGACCTAGGCATTCCAACCAAAATCGGTACCTGCAATAGTCGATTCTTAAGAGATATCGGTATTGATTCTTTAGAGTGGTAATCATTTACATTTTTATCTGGATTAATACCAGAATAAATAACACAGAAAATACAGAATTTATCATTATTTTTATATACCTGTTTTCTAGAGATAAAGTTATATAAATTAAAGAGAATGAATTAAAAACAATTTATTTAATCACTTTCACTACAACTAGTTGAGAGCTGTTGACGTCATCACGTTGTTTACATTAATTAATTAGTTTAGTTTAGTTACATTTGGGAATACTATGGATTGAGCCATGATATCTTCCCGAAGAAGCTCAGCAGTCCCTTGATTAGTGTTGCCCAAATGCAAGAACAAGACGAGACTTAGCCAGTCTTGGTATTGGTCTTGCGCCAATACACCTGGTCTTGTTCTTGGTCTTGGTATTGCGCTCTCAGTCTTGTTCTTGGTCTTGGTCTTGCACCAAGAGTCTCGCAAGTCTCGCAATTACCTATTAGCCTATTGTTATTTATTAAATGTTACTTTAGATCTTAGAACAACTTAACAAATAGGCACATTTTGAGCTTGAATTTAACATAGCCATAGAAAGACCAACCAAATTAATAAATGGCTAAACATTTAGTGAGAAATTCGAAAAATCAACTAATACCGGGTGGGGTTTGAACCCACGACCTAAGCGATCCGTGCCGATGCTCTAACCAACTGAGCTGTCTACCAAGTCTCACGGCCACGGGAGTTTGTCTGTTTCTTAATAAACGTTTACATTTAATAAGCTTTACAAATTAATGACATTAACTTGACTGTATTATAAAGAACATTATCTGTCTAGAAAGATTTTGATAGGCCCTTATATGAAATGGAATAAAAGAGTTATACAATTTACCATTTACTTAAATAAAAAAATAAAATACAATACAAATTAAATTACATGACAGTACACAACAGCTTTGAAATTACTGTTGCTTTATATTAATTCTTTTGACCAAGAATTAATACAAAGTAACCATCTGGCTGACTCATCACTTAACCTATTTCTATGTTTTCTAATTACTAATGATGCTTTAGAAAATAATCTCTCAGCAGATACTGAAGTACGATACGATTACGATAAAGTCGGATATTCTGTCTCATGCGTCCTCCACCACTCTAAAATGTCTTCCGAACTGGCGGCTCTGGGTTTACTTAGGTACTCCTCCAACTCGTCTATAACTAAGCCTTGATGAAAAGATCCAGATCCAGATGACGTCGAGGGACATGCATACAATTTCTCAAAGTCTATTACGTCTTCATCTTCATCATATTCACATACTTTCTTTTCATTTCTTGGTGATTCTAGAGATATATTCACTGAGTGTAGACTTTTATATTCTTTATAAAGTTCATTAAATTTGCGCAGGCTTTCTGTTTTAATTTTCTTCCCCCATAATGTCATGTCAAAAGTCTGAGTCTTATGCCTTGGGTCTAAAATTAAAGAGGTACAATAAATCCAGTTGCTCTTTTTATAATGTTTAAGCATTTTGTCTCGAGCTGCTTGAAAACCCAGAATGAGCCTTTCATCCACTTCGGATCGATTAGGTTTCTCATCTAATTGTTTTACCATGGATTCAATTTTATCGAGCAAGAGATTGAATGATACAATTACTAGCGGTAATGTAACATATTTTTCTCCACCAAGTTTCGTTGATAGAAGTTTAAAGTTTATTAGAAACTTATGTATTTTTTCGAGTATTTGCCATTCACTATCTGTGATTTGAAAATCGTTCAATTCGGTGACAGAAGTGCACAATATGTTAATGCCAGTTTTCACTTTTAAACCAAATCCAATCATATCATGTGTGGAATTCCATCTCGTTGGACAGTCGAGTATGGGGTTCAGATTTGATGGCACGCCAGCTGCTTCACAAGCAGACTGAAACTTCCTCTTCAATATCTCACTTCTTTTTATTATACTGGAAATACTGCGTAATTTTGTTATAGCTGTACGTGAGTCAGCAATATTTGGCGCATATTCTTCATCTTCCTCAGTTTCGTCTTCATTATCTTCATACTGCTGTTCTTGTCCCTTATTGTCAGTTTCACTGTGTAATGCTAAGGTCTTTAATAAATCTTGTACAGCAAGGTTCAAAATGTGAGCAAAGCACCGGAAATGTTGATTGAATCAAAGTGTGGCAGCTGTTTGTCCAATTCATACATAAATTTGGTATTTGCAGTTGCGTTGTCGACCGTGATACCCTGTATTTTATCAATTATGTCATATTCCAATAAACATTCGTGGAAAATCGTTGCAATATCTTCCCCAGTAGACCGCGTGATGGTATAAAATCAAGGACTACAGATCGATACTTCCATTCGTTGTCTATATAATTAATAGTGACCCCGTAGTAACTCCTACCAGCAATTGACGTCCATCCATCAATGGTAAATGACATTTTAGATGAAAATTGTTGTAGTCGTTTCTTAAGATTCAATTGAAGCTCTTCAAACCGTTCTTTGACCTTCCTTCTAAGTGTGGACCGAGAAAGGAAGATATTTTTTAACCATCCAATCAACTGTAGCTGTCGTGATGTTGTCATATATATATAACTACCACTCACTGACTGACTATAACGATATCTCACGAACTATAAAACATACAAACTTAAGAGTTTGTAAGGTAGGTTCCTTTTATGGCATAGAAATCAGTTAAGAAACGGTTTTGAGAAAATCTATCCCTAAGGGAGTGAAATGGGAGTTGGAAGTTTGTATGAAAATCCTAAGTTTTTGAAGTTAGAGACACGAAAATCGGGATTAAAGTTATAAGTTTTCAATAATAAAATCCTGAATAAACTGTTTTACGAAATCCTAACCCTAAGGGGGTGAAATTGGGGTAAAATGGTTACATGCAAGTCCTATATTTTTTAAAGTATCGATATAAAGATCGACATTTACTTTATTAATTTTAAATAATAAATACTTGAATAGTTAAGCTTTACCTATATAGCCTCTTTATACTTAGGTAAGACTTTTGCAGCGAGAAAATTTCAAAATCTCATAGGAAATCAGATATTGTACGCGGACGAAGTCGCAGGCGGCCGCTAGTTACATAATATATGTGTTATGTAATTGTGTGATAAGTATATTTTTTCTTACCTGTCCACTTTTTGCGGTGGTTATTAAAAAGCTTGTGATATCTCAACTAATTTTTCAGGAAGAAATATTTGTGATTCCTTTTTGTGGAAAGATATTAGATGCTTCCTTAAGCCTGAAGTGTTTCTGTTTTTCTTTTTTATTTCAACCTCTTTATGTTGGCATAATTTACACAAAGCAATTTGTGATGCATGAATTATGTCGAAAAACTCATCAAATTTACTTTTAGGTCTTTTAGATCTATAATTCCAACTCTCACTACTCCGACTAGAACTATTTGACTCTTCGTCACTCATGTCAAATTGTAAAATTATCACTCCGAGAACAACAAGGATTAGAGTAAAAACAATTAATACATTAGACTCGAAGCAAAGCTCAATTGGGAATGACTGGAATTAAAATAAATACTACTATTTGTAAGTACACGCCGAAAGACCGACAAAGGAAAGTTCGGCATCCTTTGATAAAGTTAATGATTCTTATGAAGATTAATAAAGTAGATGCGTTGCCAGATAGGTATAGCGTGCCTACGTAAAAATGAAAATGTAAATAAAATTGTGTATATTATGTTCTTCTTGTGATTGAATTAATCTACGTTAATTAAATTAAATTTGCCTTCACTCGTTTGAAATTCAAAATTCAAATATGTTTTATTCAAGTAGACATTAAAAATACACTTTTGAATAGTCATATAATCACTGTTTTCCCCAATTTTTTCTTTTCCATGTCCATGGGTTCTGATTCTACTGAGAAGAATCATGGAAGAAAGTAAGAAACTCAGTAGTTGCTCTTTTCAAAATATTTTTACAATAGTTCTATAATTATGTAAAGCGATAAGTCAAACATAAAATGTCAAATGTATATGTAGATACCAAATCGGTTTAGAAATTTCTAGTTAGTCCTGTGTAGTACGAGAGGTCAGTTCCAAGCATTTTTGTCTGTCCTAAATTGAAAAGGTGAAAGATCTAACATTTCTTTTGGAATCTCATGATAAAAGCGTATATCGCTACCCAAGAACGCATTATATACTTTGTGTAATCGGAAAGCAGGTATTGTGATTTTATTTTTATTTCTACTATTAAAATTGTGCAAATCACTATTATTTACATCAATTCGATGCAATCATTTCTTTAAATGGTTCTCTAAGAAATACTCGGGTTCTTAAAAAGTACATAGATCTTATTTTACGCTTTTTATTTAATATGCACACTTTTTATATTATTCGATTAGCATTGTACAAAATGTTTACACGTTTCAAGTGTGTTAAAAGTGTCTACAATATTTATCAAATGGGTGACGATATATTCGAACACTTTGTGTTCAAAAACACACACTTCCAAAAATCGAGATTTGCAGTGAACTCATTGAACATGTTTATCTATATTAGTTAATATTATAATAATTAGTAAATAATTATTATGGTATTGAATGCGATATCAATAGAAGCCGCCGGCGCGTATACCTTGACCTTGTACTTCCGAATAGCTGCAAAATTTCTTTGACAGGTCAGTATTCGACCTTTGATGATGCCGACAACAAGACGCCGCGCCCTATCAAAGTGCCGATGGTCAAAACTAGGGATGCACTGTTTTTTCTTTTAATGGATATTTTCATCCGCTATGTATGTTTATGGTATTGTTCGTATTGCGCATAAGTCCAATTTTCCAAATTTTTTCTATATATTTTTTGCGTCTCATAGAGTCCCTAAGCGTATACCCGAACTCTTATACTCCCTGAATCGACACTCATTCCCTGAAACGACACTCATTCCTAACTGCAAGACGCAAGAGTCTCGCAGGCTTAGTCTTGTTCTTGCTCAAATCTTGCACGGTCAGTCTTGGTCTCGGTCTTGCTAAAATTAGGCGGTCATGTTCTTGGACTTGGTCTTGCAAAAATGCAAGAACAAGACCAAGACTGCAAGACCAAGACCGATTTTGGGCAACACTACCCTTGATGTTGCAAGCAACTACGGGGAGCGATCCCGGCGTGACGAGATGTTTAGCCCTGTATGAAGCGACTTCTGGACATGTCACCAACACGTGAGCCGCCGTTTCTTCCTCTCCCATGCATGCCCTGCACAGGGGGCAATCAGTAACACCTATGATGAACAAATATTTGTTAAAAGAGCCATGTCCTGTGATAGCACTTGTTGCTATCCTGATTTTCTACAATAAATTTAATAATAACGACTAAAAAACTGCGCTTGCTAACTCGCTGGCCAAGCGTGGCAACTATGGCAAATGTCCCCCCTATAAAGCAATCTAAGGGGGGAGACCTATGTTCAGCAGTGGACTTTAATGGACTTTAACAGTAACGGTAATTTATTAAAAATTAATGACTTAGTCGTCCATAACAGTTTTCTTTGTCTTCTTTATCACTTTTGCCCAGTGATCGCTTGTAGTAGTTGTATTTTCTACAAATCCACATGGCAAATTATGAGTCGCCCTCCTTTTCCGGGTATGTGTCACGTGTCCATGTCTGCGGCACGGTGTGGTTGGTGTTTAGCCATGTTTTATCAATGAATATAATGAATATAACAATGTCCCAATTAGTTATATTTATAATTTCTCGTAAAACATTATTATTGCCATTCATGTCTCTAAATAATTATTTTGCGTTTGTCAATTTTTTTGTATCTGAAGCCAATTCCTTTTCAAATATTTCTTAATGACTCTATACTACCATTGTACAAGCCGACATCTTCTTAACTTACTAGCAACTTAGCCGCTTTTGGATTCACAGGAATTATAAAAAAAATAATTTGTTTAATTCACGATTCATATAATTTTTGCAAGTCTAAAAATAAACATATTAATAAACAAATAGATAATGTTACAGTCAAAACTCTTAACCGGTCAAATCCACTTTAGACTGCAAAAATCAGGCAAAAGTGGCTTTGAATAACGACGTTGGCCAAACCCACCTTTAACTGCAAAACTGTTTTAATCAGGCAAAACCTTTTTTAAAATAAAACACTAGTCAAAACTGTTTTTGACTAAGGGCCTCGGTCAAAATCATTTTTGCCTGATTTTCGCAATCTAAAGTGGTTTTGACCGGTATAAGTTTTAACTGTGACAATAATAAATTTAAAAAATTTAAAGGTTCAATTATTTAAATATTTTTACCGATCATTCGCTTTAGAATACATTTGAAGCATCCAACCACTAAGGTAAGGTGCATAACGATATATCATTGAAACAATGTCAAGCATAAAAGTTGATTCTGGTAATTTTTTTAATAGTTTGCTTTGTTTGAAATATTCGAATTTTAGTTAGTGATAAAGACCTAAACATACTGTAATGAAATTTAGATAACTTTATAATTCTTTGGATTTACATAAAAGGTTATTTTAAATTGCGTTAGTAGTATGCCTGTACAAAGTTATTGCGGAATGATTAATCTGAAACGTCAAAAGGCATTTCTAAAATTTGGTTGAGTATAAATAAAACAGAAAAAATTACGATTATATTATTATTGTGCCAAAGTGGATGTCCAATATAATGTGTAGGCTTAAAGTATTGGTATTATGGTCAACTGCAGTGTCGGAGACACGTACAATGACTTTTTTTATAGAATTAAAGATAGCAAACAAGCACTCAGTTCACTCGATGGTCCGTAAATGGCCCATTGATATCTACATCTATCATAAATTAAACCAAAATGTTGTCGCCCCAAAAAACTAAGATGTAAAAGACTAAAATTTTTCAGACATCAACCATGTTTTTAATGAATTTCAGAAACTACGAAATAAACTCTATATTTTTTATTAATGTTTCCGCCATCCGAGATTGAAACATCATAACATCGTAATTTCTTAGTTTTTGATGTAAAGTACTGCTGATTAATAATTATTTATACTTCTCTCTGTTATTAATGAGTCTAAAAATCCAATTTTATTAACTGACTGTAATATACATTTTTCAAGCTTCGTAAAGAAACGGAAGAGGCTGCATCCCGTAGCGGTACAACCATGAGTGGAGATCAACCCGATGAAAAACCACCTCCTGTTAAGAAGGAGGAACCAGATCCTGATGTATGTTATGTATTCTGATGTATTTTTTTTAACTCTTTTGGTCAATTTTTCAATTTTTTTGTCATAAAGTTCTAAAAAGATTTGTGACATATACTATAAGTTATAAGCATCAATAAGCAACAACATATCAATTACTTGCGTTTGTTATCAGTCGTGTGTGCGAGTCGATCCGTTAGGATACTGTTTTGGTGGTTTTCACCATAATATGGGGTATTAGAAAGTTATGCATGTGGTGGGCAATAGTTTTTTTATGGATAAGAAGGCAAATAAGCATACAGCTTCACCTGCTGGTACTTGATCACCGTCGCTCATAAACATCTGTAACATTAGAGGAATTGCAGGTGCGGTGTCGGCCTTTTAGAAAGGAGTAGGTTATTTTCTTGAAGGTCCCTAAGTCGTATCGGTCTGGAAAAACCGCTGGTGATAATGTGCAAATGCCATAATGCAGTGTTCATGGAAATTTTTATTGTGTAGAACATACAGTTGAGTGAACCGCCAACTGTCGAAATGATATATATTTTTCGAGTTCTGTTTTTCTAGATCTTACTATTTAATGCTGATTTAACTTTTTACTTTCCTCAATTTCATTAATGCTCTGAATAATAATAATGAGCACACTAGTGCAATGCTATCGCTGTGCTTTTGTTTTATGTTAATAATAGAATAATACAATTGCACCTCAAGTACCAATTATTTTTAATACTAGTAGCGATTAAATTCAATGCATGGGAGAATTCACAGGATGCTTTGGATAAATTCTGTGACCTATCCAAAGCCTTCTATTGTGTTCACCATGAAACATTAATCAGAAACTTACGGTGTAAGAAGTGATGCTTTAAATTAATTATTTCATATTTAAGTAACAGAACGTAAAAAGTTATTATTAATAGTATGAGCTCTTCCCAGTCAATAGTACAAATGGACGTGCCACAGGGCTTAATACTTGGCCCGTTTCTGTTTCTTTTATATAACATTAAGGGGAGTGAGTGAAAGAGAGAGAGAGAGACTGAGTCTTGTCGATACTACCATTTTTCTTGGAACCACACTAGACGCGAAGCTTCAATGGGGGCCCCATATATCAAAACTAGTAAGCAGACCTAGTTTTGCAGCATATGCTGTAAATAATTAGAAATCTTACCAGTGTTGAAACAGTAAACTCGTCTAGGTGACTAGTTTACTGTAGCTATTTCTATAGCATAATGTCGTATCGTATTTTGCTATGGGAACACGCCACTGACTAAAATTAAATTTGTTTTTACAGAAGAGGGCCATAAGAGCAATCTGTGATTTAAAACCTAAAGAGTTGCTAAGACAAAATTTTAAGGAAAATTTATGAAAATGTGATGTACGTACACAAAAATAAAAGTAGTTTTACGAAAATAAGTGATATTTTTTTGTAAATACTAGAAACAGACCCAAGTTAGTAAGTAGTACTAGTTACTCGATCCTCTCAAGTCAGTAATTCATTTTTGGGGCGATGTTACGCTTTTACAACGAAATCCCAGAAAATATACAAAATTTGACCTGCTCAAAGTTCAAAAACTTTATTAAACTAAGTTTGTTATAATATTAAGGAATTTAGGAATGATAATGGAATGAGATGATATGATAGAATGAAATGAGATGATAAGGGAATGAGGTGATCGCTACTTAGTTATTTCTAATTAGTTTTGTGTTGAATAATTTTCTACATACATGATTGTAAGCTGTTATTTAAAAAAAAGTCCCACTGGATTTCTTGCTGGTATTTTCAAGACGGGGGTTTTTTCTGAACCAGTGGTAATTAAACAAAAGAGTGATTTAAGTATTATTTATAATCATATTGAAAAAAGTTTCTGTTTATATTTCTGTTATATAAAGTACATAGAGTAACTGAGTATTTTAAAATTAGTTATAACGTCTTGATGTTATTTGTCATGGAAGTTAGATGGGTTCAAACATTATACATTTGCATCTTTTGTACATTCATAGGAACAGAACAACATGCCATGCTTTGTGGATATGTGAAGTTCGCAATATCACTCCTAAATTCAGGGGTGAGCTTAGGTATTATGTACAGTGGGGCAGTAGAGGTGAGGTGTGTGTGTGTGTGCGCAGGGCTGTGCGGAGGGCGGCGGGTGCGCGGGCGGCTGTGCTGGCGCGGGGGTAGGGGGCGCGGGTGCAGCCGAGCGCGCCGGCAAGGAGCACGCGCGCGGCAAGCTGCACGACCAGGACCAGCTCATCAAAGACCTCAAGCAGCAGCTCAAGTGACTATCCCTTGGTTTTTCGCCTTTGGTTATGGACTCTTACGATAATACTTTGCCAGTGTCAAAAATGAAATTACCATTTTAAAATAATTTGTTTCAAAATCTTTACAATATGCCGATGCGTCACATTGAAAAGTTCTTGGGAGATTTTGACGACAGCTTAACTCATCGGATAGTCGATAACGACAGTATCTTAAGTTAAAATAGCTTGAAGTTTAAATCAGCACTAAAGTACTTGTTTCTTCTTTCTACTAAAAGTTCACATGTGCAGACACTTAATACACCAAATCGCATCACTTACGTATCAAAATCCACTTCAACCCATTATTTAAACTATAAAACTGTACCAACAATCCGCTGGAATTCAAGTTCCTGCCATACATCCTAACCCTTGTTTCTTCTTATTACGCCTAGATACTCGGGCTACCGGTCCCTCGAGCCAGATCTTACCAGTTTCAACTACCAGCCGCAGTGTACCTTAGTACACAGAGGTGAAACACATCTGTGGCTTTCTATGCTTGAAATTTTGCATGCCTTCATGGGCTGCAGTAAGACTGCAACAGATGTACTGCTAGCTCATTCATCACTAGTATTATTTAAGATAAAAAAAAAACTAAAACAACCTTTTTAAGTCGACTGCTGAATTAACTAGTTACGAGTTACGACCTATATACGTCACACTGCTGAGCATAGGCTCGTTCTCTAGTTTCTGAGTGTTTTAGGGCAAGGAGTTATTCGTGGCGCTGCCCCATTGCGTATTGGTGAACTTGACATGTCTTTGAAATATTTTTTTTCTTATTTCTCAGGCATGTAGGTTTCCTCACGACGTTTTCTTTCACAGTGGAGTATGTGGTAAACTGCTCTTAGACTAACATGGAACTCAACAAAACCAGTCCGTAAATTTTTCACCGTTTCACTGTTTATGAATAGTTTGTTGGGTATATATATCAGCTAGATAAACCGCTCGCAGTTCGTACTTTAAGATAAAGCTGACTACTTACCTTTACATGCCACACTCCTCATTTTTATACGGTGAAAATTTTAATATTTTAATAGATAATAATTAAAATAAAATGATCTGAGTTCAGACTATCCTTCTTTGTCATCTCGTACTCAAACCATTACAGGACATGAATTTCTTTAAGGGAAGATTTATTGTGATCACCATGCTTGCATGCAGATTTAATTGGAATTGCAACACAGGACGTTTTGCATTTGAACCTTTAATGCTAATTTTCCACCGTCAATCTTGTTGTTTTCGATATATGCAAAATATATATACACAATATATATTTTGCATATGTCGAAAACAGTGATATCTCCGTGTTACACATGGACATATAAAAAACTGCTACAACTTAACTCTTTCGACATAAAAAACCTACACAAGTAACCCTTCAACCAGAGGCTCTAACATTTAAATTAGTGGTAGTGACCCATTATATATCACCTTGCATGTTGTGGCCTTATGAAGCTGTAAAAACCTCCTTTTCTTCAAGGTATAAACAACACCAAAAATCAGACGAAGCCAATTAATTATTTTAAATTCTACGGTTTATTTTACTTCTCTGTTAATTTTTTCTATTAATAAGGTGATGATCTCTCTATTAGTGGTTAAAGTGTATAGATATATCTTTTAGTTTACGACGGGCTGTTTTCCGCAACTCCACGTCTAAGCGCGTATTTTGCGTGTATATATATATCTTATTTTATGATGTGATATCATCATTTGTGTTACAGAAAAGCTGTGAATGAACAAAAAGAACTGAAACTATTATTAGACATGTACAAAGGTGTGAGCAAAGAGCAGCGCGACAAAGTGCAGTTAATGGCTGCAGAGAGAAAAGCGCGGCAGGAACTCGAGGACCATCGACAAAAGGCTAAAATGGCACAGGTATAGGATTTTACGAAAGATTTAATAATTAATTAATCCATAATATATTTACTTACTTACTTATCTTCACGCACAATTCGTAACGGGGTAGCCAGAGAGAACAGATCATTAACTTCTTCATACATGCACGTCTATGTATCCGAGTACTCTTGACCTTCCCCTCTTCGAGTAATTTGCTCACATGGTCTTCGAAAGTTAGTCTCGGTCTACCTCGACACCTTTTAATATTTACTTTCGCGCTATATATTTTCTTCACCATTCGGTCTTCAACTCATTCGCTCAACGTGCCCAAACCATCGGAATACGCCCCTATCAATTTTTGTGATAAGGTCATCTTTCAATCCTGCCATATTGCGAATCTCTTCGTTTCGCTTTCGGTCGGCTATGGTAACGCCGCACATTTTACGAAGAGATCGCATCTCCACTGCATTCAACTTGCTTTTATGCTTCTTCTGGCACACCCAGGTTTCGCTGCCATATAACAAAGTCGGCACCAGCACTGCGTTATGTATTGCAAGGCGTGCACTCTTCACTACGCCTTGCCTTTTGACTAACGCATTCAGGGCACCATTGACTTTGTTCCCGACAGCGACACGCCTGTCCACATCTAAATCACATCTTCCATCTCGGCTGAAAGCACTCCCCAAGTATACAATTTCATTTACCTGTTCTAGACATTCCTGATTTACCCATATTTCACATTTCGTTTTCTCTCTTCGTCCTTTATACCAGAACCTTAGTTTTATTAGCATTCAAACGGAGACCTTTAATTTCACATTCCTCTTTCATACACGTGACTAATGCCTGCAGTTCTGCTTCTGATGGTGCAATAAGCACTGCATCATCAGCATACAGCAGACAATTAACTTTAATGTCACCCAATTTCACACCCAAACAGCTATTTTTCAGCTTCTGTAAACAGCTGTCGAGATACAGTATGAACAGCCAGGAAGACATGACACAACCCTGTTTTACGCCCGCTTGGACGCTAAACATGGGTGACAGGTCATGCCCTACCCGCACACAGGCTTTACAGTCATAGTAAAGTGACTGCACACCCCTTAACAATCGACCATCCACACCATATTCCAGCAACAGTTCCCACATTTTCTTCCTTATAACCTTATCAAATGCTTACTCCAGATCCACAAAAGCACAGAAAATCCTCTGGTTAACACTCAGAAGCTTCTCCTTGATCATGCGGAGAGAAAACATTTGATCCGTGCATCCTCTTCCAGGGCTAAATCCGCATTGTGCCTCCCATAAGAATCTTTCCGATTTCTCTTGCATCCTACGTGTCCAAAACCTTCGAGTAAACTTTACTTGCTAAACTGGTCAAGCTGACGGCCCGATAGCATCCGCAGTCAAAATGTGAACCTTTACCTTTATATAAAGGCACAATGACCACGGATCGCCAATCATCCGGGACACCTCCCGTCCGCCAGCATAAATTGCACAGCAGATGAAAGCTGTTCCAGACGCGAGGCCCACCGCACTTGAACATTTCAGCTGTCTAGTCCCGCATCCTTACCACATTTCAAACTTTGAATCGCACGTTCAATCTCTTTCATGCTGATGACCTCAGTGTCATCGAGGTCCGTGTTTGGCGTCCCAGTCACGGCGTCGGAAACCACCCCCGGATCCTTCACTAAGATCATGACACGCATACATTTCTCTATAAAATTCACTCCATCGCTGCATGACGTCCGATTTTTCTGAGAGGACGTCATTGGTTTTCGAAAGCACTTTGTTCATTCTTAAGGCTGTCGCACCACTCCGGGACTTTCCAACCTCTTTCCAGAAGAGTTTGGAGTTTTCCTTAAAGTTGTGCGACAACCTTTCGTTCGCTTCTATTCTACACCTTTCACATACTTCCTCAATCAGTGTTTTCGCATGAACTTTCTGCAGCTTATATCTTTCTTTCATCTTCTCTCTCATATGCTTATCGTTACTAGAGGCCAAGTAGTCTAACCATGCTTTTTTCTTCTTTTTTACAGCTTCTCTCACTTCATCATTCCACCATGCATCTCTTCTTTTACTACTACCTCTTTTTGTCGTTCCACGTACTTCTTCCGCTGCACTTACCATTCCATCCCTAAGGTTCTGCCATGTTCTCTCCACACATTCTTTCCTGCCATCGATGGTGTCAAGCTTTTAGGCTACCCTCGTGTGATATTAGTCCTTAGTATCCGCTTCCTGAAGCTTCCAGCTTCGGATGCGACAGACCCACTGTGGTTCTGTTACTGCCGTCCGGTAGCGCCAACCCGCGAACAAACCCCTAAATCTAGTGATTACTAGATAGTGATCCGTTCCCAGGTCAGCACCCTTGAACACTTGTGTATCCATCACCTGTTTTCGCAGTCGGTCATCCACCAGGAACAAATCAATCATACATCTCTCATTCTTTCTTTCTCTAGTGTACATATGGATTTTCTTGTGATTAAACATAGTGTTTGTCACAAGAAGACCCTTTTCCTTGCATACAGCCAGTATAAGCTTGCCAGCATCATTAACCCTTTTATCGCCAAACTTTCCAAGCACCGACTCGTATCCTGGTCGAGCGATACCTACCCATCCATTCAAATCACCACATACAACAGTTCTTTCGTTTCCCTTAACCAAATCTAGAACTTCTCTTACATTCTCCCAAAACTCCTCCAGCTCAGCCCTGGACGACGAAGCTACCGGCGCATAAAGACCCAAAAGGAATAACTTCGTCAGTCCTAGTTTAAAGCGAACCCAGAGAAGTCTTGAGTTAACAACCTTATATTCAGTCATAAGATCGACCAACCGGGACGACAGCAGCACCCCCACTCCCTGGCAGGCGTTCTCGCTTTTCGGGACTCCGGACCATATAGCTAACGTCCCGCCGCTCTTCAGTACCACTGCCTTTCCGTTTGGTCTCCGACATACACACGACATCTAATTCTCTTTCTTTCATTATTTCGATCAACTCATTCGCCTGATCTCTCATGCCCCCTCTAACATTCCACGTGCCAACTCTGCACTCCATCCTCCACCTTCCGCCGTGTCGGGCTGTGCGTGACGGGTGGCGGTCCCCATCGCCGCTTTGCGCGCTGCATTCCACACCAACGGGGACGAGCTTATGTGCGTCGTCTTGGGGGGACGCCCTAACCCTCGTTTGCATGGGTGCGCAGCTGTGTAGAATTGCAGCCCTGAAAAGGGCTGGCAGGGGTCGTGACGAGCACACTTCTACAATGACCCCATAATATACTTGAATTTAAATTGTTTAAAATAGTTTAGATTTCCTTTATTATTTTTCTTAAATTTTCTTAAATCTATGATGGGATGATGTGGAATAATGGAGTTAAGAAGCCATAACAATGAGACTGAATTAAAATCTCACAAATTTGTGAAGGCGAATAATTCAAAAACTTTAGCTATTTTTTTATTTATAAATATATTAACTGATGGTTTTGGAGATGACGTTTTCTAACATTATATTTTTTTTATTATACTGGTATTTGATACAGCTTATACAACGTCCGCTGCTAGACGTAAGCCCAATACAAAATATAATCCCTTCTACAATTGATAATATATTATAGTTGCTTAGCTTGTTAGCTTTTAGCGGTTAGATAACCACAGTTTTTTATTAATATTATTTTGTTATCAGCAAAATGCTGCGGCCTATTGTTAGTTTCATTTTCTTCTGTTGCTTCTTAAACACTTACAGGTGATATGGGGGTAGTAAACACGTTGTATAATAGCAGCATAAGAGAATCCGTTACTCCATGATAGGATCTCGTGGGTATCGTAAAATGTGACGGAAAGAAACTGCAACAGGAGATGGACAGCAGCATCTTCTTGATAAAATAATAAAAGAACTGCGGCTGCCAAGCGCGGTGATTATGCCTGATATTTTCTCTATATATTATTTTATAATTTTACCGCGTTTATTTCTACGTATTTTTCGACATTTTGGGTACTTTGCACCACCTATGGTAGCGGAGAGCATGTGTAGTGTTCGCGTAAATATAAGAAATCATTAAGGATAATTTCATTTCACATTCTGTTCTCGTCATCTGATCAAACCCGCATACATCGTTTATCGATTATCTCGATTGGCAACAGGAGAGTAAGCGGGAGAGGCGGTTGGCGGACGAAGATGCGCTGCGCAAGATCAAGCAGCTGGAGGAGCAGAAGTACGAGCTGCAGAAGCAGCTGTCATGCGCGCGCCCCAGCGCCGACCCGCTGCACGCCTTCTCCCGCCCCTTCGCAGGCTCGCAGGTAACATCCTGCTCCACGAGGACGCGCTGTGCAGGATCAAGCAGCTGGAGGAGCAGAAGTACGAGCTGCAGAAGCAGCAGTTCCGCGCGCCACAGGCCGACCCGCGAGTCTTCTCCCGTCCCTTCACCGGCTCGCAGTAACATCCTACTCCACGAGGACGCACTCGCAGGAAACCGGAGGAGAGAAGTACGAGCTACAGAAGCAGCTGTCTGCGCGCGCCCCAGCGCCGAACCGCTGCACGCCTTCTCCCGCCCCTTCACCGGCTTGCAGGTAATATCTTGCTCCACGAGGACGCACTGCGCAGGCTCAAGCAGCTGGAGGAGCAGAAGTACGAGCTGCAGAAGCAGCTGTCGTGCGCACGCCCCAGCGCCGAACCGCTGCACGCCTTCTCCCGCCCCTTCACCGGCCCCTTCACCTGCTTGCAGGTAATATCTTGCTCCACGAGGACGCACTGCGCAGGATCAAGCAGCTGGAGGAGCAGAAGTACGAGCTGCAGAAGCAGCTGTCGTGCGCACGCTCCAGCGCCGACCCGCTGCACGCCTTCTCCCGCCCCTTCGCCGGCTCGCAGGTAACACAACGCTGCAGTTACTCATGGACCCTCACCACCAGGAATTGAAAACCATTTCCAAATTTTGATACTTTTCTTTATTTAGCTTCCAACAAAGATTCCATATTTCAGGTTTCCTTTAAACTGGTCCCGAAGTATGCCGTGTGGATAACATCGACATTGTAACACATTGAATAACTTATTTTACGAATTTTATTGCATTAAATATTTTGCTTATTTTACATTCATAGTCACAGAGGGATTGGGATGTTCAATCAATCGGTTTCCGTTTTTATTCATTATTTGTAATATATACAGTACAGTGTATGGAAGCCTTGCAGTGGTTACTAAGTCTTTGGATTTATTTTTGTTTATTTTAGTGTTTTATTACACAAGATCTCACGCCTTTTATAGCCTAGCCAAGCCATTTTTTCTATTGAAATTGTGATTTTTTATCTTTGACAGGCATCAACGTATTTTGTTATGATCTATGAAATCTAAAATAAAGGCTGGTAAGATCCTAAATATATTTACAAAATGCAGGCTTCTGACTGAAATTTAATCAAATATTTATCGCTTTTAATCGACTTATTGTTTGTCCAATTTGTGAGAAATATATCGTAATCAAGCTAGTACACATCTGCATTTTGTAAAGGAATAATATAACTTTTGAAGTATGGTAAAAACTTGCTATTCATCTTTTACAGCACATAGAATATTCAAACGGAAAGATAAATAGATGTCTAACTCTACTCTGACAAATTGTATGGCAGGCACACATTCGAATATGGCTGTTTCCTTTCGGTCATTTTAACTAAGGCGCGAAATCTGAAGTTTTTTGGCATCCAGGTGTTTACTGTCATAAATTCCTTGTTAGCGATATAAAAATTCATTGTTTGAATATCTGTTGGTATGAACCTTTTACTACAAAAATGCAGTTATTTAAGTTGGTGGTGAAATTGTGGAAACAATGTATACCAAATATACTAATATACACATACATGACTTCGATTGTCCTATGGGTATATTTACCATACTTGCCACACTTTGCAGGCGGGTTGGCAACCACATTCTTTTTTATTTAGGCCAGTTACCAGCAAGAGACTACTTCCCAAGTCCTGTCTAAAGCCACAAGATGGTATGGGATTATAAGGTAGTGGATTTTCTTATGCGTAAAAGAATCCATCCAATCCACCCCGCGCAGTCATGGCTAACGAGTAACATACAACTTGCAGGAAGAGGAGGCGCTCCTGAACGAAATGGAGGTGACGGGGCAGGCGTTCGAGGACATGCAGGAGCAGAACTCGCGGCTCATCCAGCAGCTGCGCGAGAAGGACGACGCCAACTTTAAGCTGATGTCGGAGCGCATCAAGGCCAACTCGCTGCACAAGCTGCTGCGCGAGGAGAAGCAGCTGCTGCAGGAGCAGGTTACTGCCGCTTTACCTACTTTACATGTTACTCGCGCACTTAAACAATGAGATTAACGAGTCCAATGGTTAAAACAGTAATTAACCTGTTAGCTACGAAGCGGCCGAATTCGGTCGCGGCAATATTCCGTCAAATACCAAGTGACCCAATTCGGCCGCACCCACCCACATCACTCAACCCATAAATACTTATGGTTAGACTACTTTTCTATGAAGAAGTTTGGCATTATAGGCTCAATATGAAATTTTCTATCCTCTAGTGCAATAAAAAGTCAGTTACTCTATGGTTATTTATTTATAATCTACGTTCATTACATACGCCATTTTCGTGTGGATTTTAAAAAATAATTTTATTTTTTATGCAATAAAGTCTTTTTGTAATGAAGTAAAACCTGGCTTTTGTTTAGATCACAGGTTAAAGAATTTTGTATAGATTTTATAATGCCAAACTTCTTCATACGTATTGGGGCTGCCATTCAAAAAAGTATTCTATCAATATGAGTTTTAATGGTTTAAAGTGCTGTGGGTGGGTGCGGTCGCATGTGACCGCTCGGGATTTGACAAACGCATGCGACTGCATAGGATTTTATGGGGATTAAAGGGTTAAAATAATCTGACTGCGTAAAATAGTTTACTGAAAAGATAAAAATGTATACCCTATGTCACTTCCACACGTAAGATGAATCTAACGACATGTATTAAGTTATGTGATGCATCAATCCATTTAGGCTTCAGAGCGTACCAAATTAAAAGGCATGCATACACTCTCAATAAACATCACACAACAAAATCGACGGATACAAGACGACACAACAAAAGAGGGTACTTTCTGGGACAGTCGGGTAAAAATAACGTCTCTTACATTCACCTCTTGGTTCGTATTATCGCTGTCTATAGTCACACCCACTGACCGCAAAATGTTACGTCATTTATAGGCTTGCAATAATATATCGAATTTTTCGGTTCATATCCTTAATCATTGGGCTATTGTCGCTTTAAAAAAATATCGTTAAGATTGGTCATGCTAGTTTAAATTCAAATTTTTAACAGGCCCTCCCATGCTATTTGTCATTGCTGCATTTCGTTGTACGGTAAAACACAACAGATACTCTCGCATTAGTATTGTTGTAACTCGTTGTTAGTCTGTGAATTTAGCTTTTAAGATATTTTCTACATTAATTTACTATATTGCTTGCCCTATACTGTGCTTGAGGCAAATACTCGAGAACCTATTTTCCCTATCAGGTGTAAGTTCAATGAGCTTATAAGTCTTTTTACTACTTCAGTGTTGATATGTGATAATAATGCTGGTGGTATGAAATTTTGATTAAAAAAAATACCCCAAAATATTTACAACATAAAAATCATTTGTTGTCAATGTAGTAGATTTTGATCTGTGCAATCAAACCTTAATTGAATATATGATTTAACTTATCTGCATAATATCTATGAAACTTATAGGTGGTTACAAGAGATCAACAAATTGAATCAATGGGTGCGGTTGCCCGGCGGTTAGAGGAAAAAGAGAGGTTGTTACAAGCGACTCTTTCGGCTGTAGAGAAGGAGCTACTTCTCCGACAGCAGGCCATGGAGATGCACAAACGTAAGGCCATCGAGTCCGCGCAGTCTGCCGCAGACCTCAAACTGCATTTAGGTGAGTTATATAGTTCTTATATTGTAATTTTACTAAAGTAAAGCCTCTCATCATCCCGAATCATACCGTGTCGTAAGAGGCGACGGAGAGTGAAACAGGAGATGGGTTGCTGCATCTTTCTGATTACAATAATAATAATGTGCTCCAGACCGAATTTCGGTCACGGCAGCCTGCCTTAACGGTGGCTAGCCATCGGCGCAGGACAGGATTATAGTGCCCAAGTGTATGCGCAAGCACAGGTGCACTCTCTATTCCCTCACTCTCATAATTCGATGGGACGGTAAACCGAAACGACCGGAGAGAGATCAGGCGCAGAACCAACGGCTTTACGTGCTTTCCAAGGCACGGGGGTGAGACACCGCCAATTTCCTGACTCTGGACAGCTACTGAGAATTTCTTGATGGAAAAACTCAGTAATGTTTTTTTGGCCCGATCCGGTATTCAAACCCAGGACCTCTTGATCAGCAATCGCACTACTACAACCACTAGACCAACGAAGCGGTGTCTTCTGAAAACAACTCAAAATAATAAAAACTGAAATAGCCAACCCGCCTGACACGCGTGGCAACTATAGATATCAGAGAGATATCACTCCAATGAGGAAATCTTTTGGGGCAGCCTGTGTTAAGCAGAAGACTGTAGATAGGCTGGTGATAGGTAGGTAGGTAAGGCCACAGTAGAGTGCTAATAAGTGTAAAAAAGTAAATGAATGTATCTTCTTCTTGTGGGTGTCGTTAGAAACGCCCACAGACTGTGAAACGCTAGAAAGATCTCATAGGTTGCAACTGGTGGCAGTAAAAAGATCTCGTCTATACCAGACAAATATATCTAAACCAGGGTAATAGGAAAATTTCAAAGGTGTGAGACAATTGGTCCAACTGTGCTGCCAACATAGAAATTATACTGAATCCTATCCGTAATGGAAAAGGCCCATGTCTAAAAATGGACTACAGGTTTTGAGGATGAAGGCTGCATCACCACCTACCACCAGGTGGGATTGTGGTCAAGCACTGGATTTTACGAAGTAAAAAAGAAAAAGTAAATGGAACAATCATCATTATCATCACACTACAGTACAGCCATTCGTCCTAATATTATGTAGATCTTTATATGGCTGTAAGAATTTGCAAATCGATCATAGTAGTATAGTTGTATTGTACATGTCAATATATTTCATCTTTAAAATGAAATACAATAAAATACTTCTGAAATGTACATTTTCAATTTTACTATCGCAAATATTAAGTATGTAAGCAATTAATAAACTCATAATCAATTAAAATAATTCCTCATTTATATCATATTTAAGATGGTTTTACCGTTATGTGTCAAGTACTGAGAAATGTTGGAGTTATGTGGTAATCCTGCCCAATTAATGCCCAAAGCTAGTTAAGGTTTTACCTTGACAACCAATAATTGTAATAAATAGCGTAAAAAAATATGAAGACATTCTAAGCTCTGAGAACTAAAGTATATTGAAATACTACAGGGACGTGCTCTCTGCTATCTCTTATTTCTTGCATATAATTTGCTTGGTAGTTTCAAAGATCTGATTACAGAATTTTTTCCCTAAAATTCTTTATTATTTAGTAAGTAAATTGGGATGATGATTAATGAGGTGAGGAAATACGATCCATATACTTAATAATTTTAATGGGGTTAAAACCTATTTGTTGTAATAATTATGATGTATAAAACACTAACCATCCATTTGTATACTTTGCAGAGAAGTATCACGCTCAAATGAAGGAAGCACAACAGGTTGTCGCCGAGAAGACAAGTGCACTAGAAGCGGAGGCATACAAGACAAAAAGATTACATGTACGCGATTTTTTTACACATACTCTCATTATACCTTTACTATAGTCAACCAAATCTAAGAAATACATTTTGACAGCTGTCAGACTTATTGCACCAAGCATGCCAACCAAAAAATGGGAACGTACAATATTCGATTCTTAAAAAAATCGATATCAATTATTTAGAGTTGGTAATCATTTACAGTTTGGTATGAGTAATACCAGAAAAATTAAAAACACTAAAATTTAACACACAAGATTTATCACTTTTTTCGTATTTGTTGAGCTTGCTTATTTCCAGAAGCAAAGTCATAAAAATTTAAGATTGAAATTAGATTAAAAATAAAATTATTCAATTACTTTTAGTACAACTTGTTGAGCTAACGTTATTTAGATTAATTGTTATTTATTTTTCAATAATGCCGTCAAAATTAATGTCTCAAAGTCATCCATAATCAATTTCTTTGTTTTTTTCTACCATTTTTGCCCAATCATTTTTGTGACATGGGCACATGCTTCAACGAATATAGAAAAAACAGTCCAAAAAGTTAAAGCCGAGTCACAAAATAAGAAGACAAATACAAAATCACAAAATTACGCACAGTAAGCTCCCGAAATGGCGGGAGATTGAAATTACGTAGTGGTCTTTTTCAGCGCGGTCTTGAATAATATGAGTTTTTGCCTACTCGTTGACAAAATAAAAAAATTGGTTGACCCTGCAGGCCATTCCTGGAACTTCTCGCGAATTTCAAATGCAAAACGCTCCAAATTTCACCAAATTATGACGTTGAATATGAAATATCGGAGTAATTGAAAAAAATCAATTTTTTCAAAAATTTTCGTTAACGATATTTCACGAACGAACCAACCGATTTTGACCAAATTGGCGGCGATCGACGTAGATTTTTAAGGTTAAAAGCTGATTAGTTGTTGGAACCGAACGGTAAAGCCGTTTAAAAGCTATTCCAAAAAAAACGTTTTTAAAATTTTTATTTTTGAGATTTCTCAAAATCCACCAGTCTGTATTAGTTAAAATTCATAGGAAATCTAGGGTTGATGAAATACTTTGGAAATCCGCATAATTCATTTCACATACAGACACCATCGAAAAATTTTCAGGGTGGCTTTCTGTGACCTCAAAACGTCAAGATTTGATGAAAACTCATTTTCGAGAAAAGGGGTAAAAACAATAGCTTCCCGATTTTTTTAAAATTTTCAATATTCTTAGCGGGAAGTTGAAAATAAACTTGTTTTATTCATGATTCATTTAGTTTAAGGCATTTTAAAAATAAAAATTTTATTAAACAAGTAATACATTAAAAATTAATGATTCGATTATTTGAATATTTTTATCGATTATTTGAATATATTTGCCGATTATTCGCATACAATGAATTTTAAAATTCTTCGGATTTACGTAAAAGGTTATTTTAAAACGTGTGCAAAGTTATTGCGAAATGATTAATGTGAAATGTCGAAAGTTATTTCTTAGATTTGGTTCACTATAATATTTTCATCCAGTCTCAGTGATCCTGTAGACAACAATTTATACTATATCGTATTGTTAAGTCGTATATGTTAAATCTTTCTAAAATACACGTAATATGTTCACATTATTTACCACAGAGAAGGGGATGATACATCAAAAGAAAGCCTATCGACCTACCGACTTCAATACCAATCGATTAAATTTCCGTCTTTATTGTCTATTTAGTAGTCATTGACTTTATAATTTGTTCTGTGTACTGGGTCTTTCATAATACAAAATTATTTGGTATAATCACCATAATTTTCAGATTTTTTCCATAATTGAAATTAAGGAATTGGGCTAGGAATTGGATTTTTTTTAAATACAAAAGTCAACGATCGATAAATACCGTTTTTTAACTTCCCGCTAAGAAAATTGAAAATTTTCGAAAATAGGGAAAGTTTTGGTTTCACCCCGATTTTCGAAAATCGAATTTTCATCAGATCTCTACGTTTTGAGATCCCACGGACGTGGACATCCGTACGGATCCGTACGATCCGATCCATACGGTGTGTGTGTGTATGTAAAGCTTTCATAACTTTTGAACGTCTGGATCGATTGAGATGCGATTTAAAGATCGGCGTTCTAAAGATCTCAATGTGGAATACATTTGGTGATAATATGAACTGATTCGGATGAGTAGATTTTGAGAAATCTCAAAAATAAAAATTTTCAAAAACTGTTTTTTGGAATATATTTAAACGGCTTTACCTATCGATTTCAAAAACTAATCAGCTCGTAACCTCAAAAAATGACGACGAATGCCGTTTGGAAAATAAAAATCGGTTCATTCGTTCATGAGATAACGAAGAACGAATTTGAAAAGAACGTTTTTTTAATAACTTCGAGATTTCGCAACATAATTTGGTGAAATTGGAGCGCTTTGCAATTTGAAATTAGTGGGAAGTTCCAGGGATTTTTTTAAATATGTTTGGAATACAAACACTTTAAAGAAATCTTAAACCTTACAATTAAGCTGCATTTATATAATTTATCCTTATCGCCATATTTTAGATTTGTGACCTTGTACAAATATATTTATAATAAGAATTTATAGGATCTAAAATTTTTGTAATTCAATTTCAAGGAGGAGCTTGCCATCCTCAGGCGTAAGGCCGAACGGATGAAAAAGATGGAACAGGCGGGCAGTAGTATGGATGAAGTGCTACTGGAGGAAATCCGGGAGTACAAAGAAACCCTAACATGTCCATCTTGTAAAGTGAGTATATACCATACTACAGTTTTATGATATAATAGCAAAGCAATGTTGGGTAAACTATTTTTCATAGAGTAAAGAATAATTTATGTTTGGGATAGACTTACAAAGATATGTTAGTTTGGTTAAGATTTTTTTACACAAAGGCGTTAAAGACTAAAGATTTTAAAATTACAAAATCACCCTGTTATTAGGACATCTGGCAAACAAATTTAACGAACATAATAAATCAGAGAAACATACAGTCTGCTACATTCCTTCTTATATACTTCTAATATATAATTTATTTTTTTAATATCAAATAAAATCGAGATTTTTCATAACTTTTCATATAATAAGTCCAAAATGCGGTTCGGTTGGCTAGCTATCGTTCGGGCACAGCCTGAGAGCATAGATAGATAGATAGATCTGCTAGCTAGCTAGGTGCTAGCTCTTATTAATATTTAAAAAAAATATGCACCATTAATATAGAAAAAATCATATGATCGCTCCCAAGCAAGTCATTAATAAGTATAATAAGCTAAGTATAGTAAGCATTTCAGACACCTCTGATACGCAAAAGAGGTACAATAAATGTTTTACTAATACACATAAAGTATATTAACTTTGTGGACATACTTTTCGTGTACAGGTAAAGCGCAAAGACGCCGTCCTTACGAAGTGCTTCCACGTGTTCTGCTGGGACTGCTTGCGGACTCGATACGAGACGCGGCAAAGGAAATGCCCCAAGTGCAACGCGGCCTTTGGCGCTAACGATTACCACCGACTCTACCTCTCTACGTAAACGCACAGGACGGTCAACTCTATCTGTATATACATGACCGGAGGGTAAACTATAGAACACAATGTGTTACATATGAATTTAATATTTATTTCAACTTTAGTTGATTAATGAGTTGATGAGATCTCAAAGGGAATTTGTAGGTCAATCTTAAGACAAGATGTAAGCACATTTGCTGTCTTAGCTATATCGATGTTTAAAATGTTTAACCTGTCTAAAGACATTTGTAATGTAAATAAGAGCACAAGTGATTATGTCGTACTGTATAATTGATGTGAAAGCATATAACTATATAATCCCATATAAAAGTAACAAATTACAGCACAGATCTAATTTCTTTTCTTTGATCTGCCGCACTGTTTTAATAAAAGTTCTCGAATTTTTTATTATATTTTTCAAACAAACCGGTTTCCTTCACACCCAAACACGTGGTTAATCAGCATTTGGAATTGGAATTAAAAAGATGTGTTAGTGATGATTAAAATCGATTTCTCATGTACTGTGATGATGGTGTTCAGCTGTTCAGCTTCTCAGCTACCCGGATTACGGAACCCGTGTATTGAGCTAGGGCATTGTAAATAAAAATTACGAAATTTAAGTTTATCTAAGTCTCAGGTGAAAGAAATATAACTTATTTAATGTTTAAATATGATGGGTATTTGTATTACTGGTATCATGTCTGCAGTTGTACATATTGTGTACATGTGTTTAAGTACTTTCTTGTAGTTAAGATATACAATTGTTGTTAAATCCAATAATATTTGCGAATAGTATATTGGGTTAGTGAGATGCATAATATTTCCTCAGTGTCAGCATATTTAACAAAAAACCTTACAAAATCTACTGCTGCATGTATAATTTTTTATATACATAAAAATATGCATAAGAAACTAACTAGATATTTTTGTCTGTCACTCATCACACTGAGCATTGGGACGGTGAGATCTCCGCACTCGATGATGGTACAGGAAACACGAGCCTCTAAGAATTGTCTTTGGTATTTTAAATGGTCTTACCATTACTGTTACAGTAATTCATAGATCGCCTCGCAGTGGTGATATATGCCATAGTTGCCACGCTTGGCAGTAGGTTGGCAAGCGCAATTTTATTTTTATCTTCTGGTAGTTAAGTTAGTAAATTAACGAGACATTGCTGCCTATCCTAGTCTGCTTCCCTCCGTCGATTCATACGACTCCTGTGGGATGATATAAGGTAGTAGACATTCTTACACCGCCACTACATGTCCAAAAAAGTAGTTACCCCCTTGCAATTATTAGTTTTTGTAATGTGCGGACACGAACAAAATATTTGTCATGATCTCACTGCCTAATTACCTCTATTTTACTTAAATCACACAGAATTTTAGAGTAGTAAATAAAAGCAGTATTGAACAAACTAGTGGATGTAAATAAAATATCTACTCTAAATGTATACATACTTGTTATGATGAACTAAACTTGAAGTTTAATTTGAAAATAACTTTGTTTAATAATACATTTGTCGCATGGATACCATGGAATTTCTTGTAAATTGATTAAAACATTCTCCATGTTCACAAATTTAGTTTCTAAACTGTACAAACTGTTTTGTATGCGTATCCGACAATCGGTAAATTATTCATTCCTTATTTTGTTATACTTTCCATGTATTATAATTATGAAGTAAACCTACACAATCATTGTAAGAATTTATAATGCATTTTGAAGTCATGAATGATCATACATTTTGCCTGCTAACGTTGTATAATATTGATAATATCATGAAATCAAATAAGTGGATTGTCTGTATTTGATGTTATAATTGTGTAATTTCGGTGACATGAAGGTTATCTTTGCTGATTTAGGTAGCTCCTGTTACAGATGTATATGTGTTGCATGTCTCGGTAGGAAGCAATTATTGGACCACAGTCAATCGACATAATGAATAAAGCTATTTTTTTAAAGAAAGCAAGAAAGAAGAAAAGAGGAAAGAAACATCAGTGTTTCTTAGAATACAGATGATAATCGGAGAAGTGAAAATGTAGTTTCAATACGAGAAACAATCTAGAATTATTCATAGATAGTTTAATAAATTTGATCACATCTACATTATTGACTGATATACCTATATTGATTTAGTTTAAGCACAATTCATTTCATTTAATGATACATAATTCTCACACAAACTGTGGGTGTATTTATGAAATAAATAATCACTGTCATCATGGGTCAATATCTGTATGATGACAAGCTATACTGACTAACTTATTTAAAATATTTTCCAGCCTTCAGTAGCTTGATGTAAAGTTTGTTGAAGTGGATAATTTAGTTCGAATTTAACGTTAATAGAATTTTGTAATTATGTTAGACTTGACTATTGATATTTGTATTAGATATACAATAAGTCTATTTGAGCCGTCTTAATGTTGGTTACATGGTTAAATGGTGGCATGACCTCTTGCCGCCGTTATTAGCTTTAACGAAAATATCTCTCTTTTATTGTGCATTATTATACTTTCATGTTGGATTTTTGGTGTTGTATTATATCCTAAATGTTCGTTTGGAAAAATATACACATCTGCAACATTGACTGTTTAGACGTATTCAAAAATATACATTGCATTGCAGTTATAAATAATTATTGACAAACTAAACATGTAGAGAAGTAAAATAAATAAACTCTGCTTTCCATGATATATATCTAAAACTGTAATATAATTTAATTCATGTGAAATAAATGTCTCAAGCATAAAATGGTTTATTCATTTACCTTTTTTTGTACTCTGTGATATTTATGATGATGCCAGATGATGCTATAAAAACCATAGATAAAGTATAAACTTACGTAATTGGCAATGCAAAAGAGAAAGAGCATAGTGTGCGCGTCGTAGACAGAGAAACCTATAGACAAATTGACGCCTTTTTTCTCATTCGCACACGAAAAAGATAGATTTATGCATACGTCTTGCATAGAAATGGGGCAGAGCAGTGTGATTGTCCCTTTCTCCGTGCCGGTTTATTTGTTTAGCAAACTACACTTTGCTATACAACTTTGACAGTTCGTAGCGATCTAAGGAGTTTACAAGTTGGTTTTGAGTGAGAAAATAGTGTTTTGTGAGCTTAGGATTGGTGAATCTTGTTCAGTTCAGTTCTTAGAACAATTAAAAATTTTATCTAAATATGTTTAAAAGTCACAAAGGTTATTGTATAACCTAAAACTACGTTATCGTCCTTTCTCACTCGAGGCCACGCTAATCATTAGTCTATAGGTTTCTCTGTCTACGGTGCGCGTATTATAGAGCGAGAAAGATAGGCCAGAAAATTGACAAGCTATTGTCCATTATGTCAAGCGTAACCAGATATTCTATAGATACTGATACATAGAGCGCGCTGTAATACTTATAGTACTTTTGAAGTAAAACTTCTTTACGCGCGCTTGACTTGGGAGTAGCTGGCGAACGCGTGACGAAAGCGTAGCGTACACTGTGACTGTGCGGGCGCACTTTGACGCCCTAATTAGGGACCCTTACTTTTATTACGCTACCCTTATTAAGGGCGTCGGGAGCCTGATTTAGGGTAGTGTAACAGGGGTATAAACTAGATACAAAGTAGGGTATTACAAAAAATTTACATGATCTTCATGTGATTCGCGAAAATTCCTCCTAAAAATGCTCGATAATTAGTTGGTTTTTCTATTTCACATATTTCTTTAAGTTTTAAAGATTACGCACCAAATCTGGTATATATTTTTTGGCTGTATGATCTTGAATTTCATAAAAGGAAAACACGATATCATGTAAATTTTATACAATTGTGTAATTGTATAATTTTACGATAGAAATAAATAGCTCATATAAACCATTTTTTTAATCCATAACAAAGATTTGCTTCATTTCCGATCGCGTGCTCGGTCAATTTATACAAAAGTACTCGTTGGTGATCGGTATTGCCCCTATTACATTACCAAGAAATCAGGGCCCTGAATTAAGTGTGGACGTGGCTCCTAATTAGGGACGTCAGTCATTGCCACAGATCACTATATACTAGTCTACGAGTTATTACACTACACTGATTTTACGAACTGATGATTATATATGACAAATCATAGGGATGGACAAGTTGTAAAAAGTTTTGAGATTTATTGTATCGATATATTTAAACAGTATCATAATAACACCCGAAAGAACAGACTCGCCTACTCGCCCTGTGTTAGCGGCGTGAAATATACCACCCCCTAGTTTTTCGCACTATGAGGCAAAGAGGAAAGGAAATGGCCCCGAGTTCCCGGCGCCCCTTTTATGGGGCAGCGGTGCGAAGAATCTCCGGGAGGAAAACCGGAGACGAGGTTCGCCAACCGTCACGTTCTGTCTCCCGGAGGGGCGAAAAGAGGATTGCGAAGGCCCGTCTAGCTACGCTGAATGTATGTGAAGCAATAAATGATAAGATGGATGAAGTATGCGATATGATGTATGATAGAGGAATAATGTGTTATGTGTAAATGAGACGAAGCAGAAGGGAAAGGATGTCACTACACATGGCATATATACCGCGTACTGGTCCGGTGTAGACGAGACCGAGCCGGCATGCCAGGGAGTCGGTATCATCCTTTCAGAAATAATGGATCAATGAGTGAAAAGAGTATGAATGTATGTATGAATACGAATAAAAGTGGGCCTAAAGAAGTTGTTTGTGCTAGGGGTAAACGCCCCAGACATGTCTAAGCGCACTTATATCCGAAAGCAGTTTTGGGAGATATATAATAAAGTAAGGGTGGTGTTAATGTAATGTAAGGAAAATGAAAATATTGTTATGTTAAGAGATTTTAATGGAAGGGTTGGGGTGAGGAGGCTTGGCTATGAAAGGATAACTGGAAACGTTTGTTGATGAAAGTATTAATGAGAATGGTGAAAGCCTCCTCACCGTATGTGTGGAAAGGAATCTTTTTGTGACGAACACTTTCTTTCGTCATAAGAAGATTCACATGTATACTTGGGAAAGAGGTGATGATAGAAGCATGATAGATTT